GATGTCATTGTTTTCATATCTAATAAATTCAGCTGCAAATTGCCCCAAGGTTCTGTTTTTACCCGTGAAATATTGCACTGTCTGCTGGCCACGGCAGCACGGAGCTTGTCACTGCAAGAAAGAGCTTGAGGATAGGTCACGGGAACTAAATCTTATAATCCTAGACGAGAGAGAGAGAGAGAGGAAGCAGTGGAGATATGATTACAACATACAAGATATTGGGAGGAGGGGTATTGGACAAAGTGGACAAGGAACATCTCTCTAAGGTGAGAGAGAGGAAGACAAGAGGACAAAGGAGGAAGATGGAAATGCAAGAAAGTCGAAGAAATGTCAAGAAATACGCAAGAAAGTCGAAGAAATGTCAAGAAATACGCAAGAAAGTCGAAGAAATGTCAAGAAATACTGGCGCTGTTACGACGCCTCGTCACAGTGGACCTCCTCCGTCTGTTGGGGGGAAGTTCAACGCCTCAGATTTACAACAAAAAAATGTTGGTTTTAGAATGTTGGCAGATCGGCGGAGACAATTTATTGGTGGTAATGCGGCCACCGTGCCGGGAACTGTAGACTTAATGGCGTTGTGGGCCCCCACCACGCACACTCTCCACTACCACAGCCAACCACATACCTGTTGTTTACCTGTAGTCAGGTTCGAGAGTGTTTTTTCCTACTCCCCAAGCCAGGCCGGGGGTCAGGCTTGTCTGGTGATAACTTGATCGGGAAGGTTGCTGCTAAGAGCGGCCCGCATTCGTCAATTTCTTTATTATACACCCCATACCTCATCACTACAACCTGGTTGGTCCGGCACTTCCTGCAGGAACTTGGACACTTACCACTTTGAAAATTTATCCTTTTGTTCTTGCAATATATTTGTTGGAAGATGGTTAAGAGACACGAACCTCTGCTGGTGTCCTTCGACGGTGCCTTTGGCGCTGTACTCTGCAAGCTGTGTGTATTTTGCACATGTTTGACCCTTCATATTTGGCACCATGCACTACCTGTGTGTGTGTGTGTGTGTGTGTGTGTGTGTGTGTGTGTGTGTGTGTGTGTGTACGTGTACGTGTACTCCCTGTTGCCTGGGTGTTGATGCGTTAGTGGTAACGGTGTACACCCAGGAATATCTCCTCCCCCTTGGGAGAGGACTATCTTAGTGGCGTTAAACATAGCATGTTCTAGCTCGATCTAGACATCCAACATTATGTTTGTAACTCATTTTGAATTCAGGTATCTGAAATTCAGGTACTTTTACCTGAATAAACATTATCTAATATTACCCACCACACTAATGCCACTGTTTCGCTTAATTCCGTGTGGTGATGTAGAGAGGACACAGCCCTCTAGTGAACAGCTGGAGAACTAGAGAGAATAAAGGCGGGATTGACTACGGGATAATCTCTCCAGTGTTGGAGGGAGAGGGGGGGGGGGAGGAATGTTGGGGGTATGGGAGGTCTGGGGCATTACCATGTGTGGCGGTCATACCCATTAACCCCGTACCCCGTCTACTCCACCCCGTGGACATCCTGCCACTACTACGCTACAAATAACCCCCAATACTGGCCGGGCGAACTACCACTTACCTATTTTCCTGAATGGAACCACGTTAGTCGCACGTCTCGGTGGTGTACTGGTTGTCGTCGGGGGGGGGGGGGGGGGTGGCGGCCGGGCTCTGGTGGCGGGCTCTGGCGGGCTCTGGCGGCCTGCAGGGCGGGGATGAGATCGACATCGCGCCCAACATTCCTGTCTTGGTGTAAATGTTGAGGCGGCGTTGTTGTGACGGGGGGGGGGGGGGGAGCGTTGTTGTGGGGGCTGCGTTTGTTGTTGGGGCTTCGTTTGTTGGAGGGGGGGGGTGTTTTGTTGTTGTGGGGGGCAGGGAAGTTATGCACTGACGGTGGTGGTGGTAATGACAGGCTCATGGTTTGGTTGTGGCGGCTTTTACCTGAATTTACCTCAGGGCCACTAATATACTAGTTGGGAAGGAAGCCGGCGGCTTGTCAAGGGTCCCTCTCATTTGCCCTGACGATTTTTTCCAGCTGTATTTTTAAAACCCGGCAGAGTTTTGGCGTTTACGACTTCGGCGGGTAGGCGGTTCCACGGGTTTACAACCCTATGGGTGATAAAATATCTGCTATTTTCTGTGGGAAATTGAAGACGCGCCTTCTTTTGTTGTGATGGTGCGTCTGTGGGGGTGTAGTGGTGCGTCTGTGGGGGTGTAGTGGTGCGTCTGTGTGGGTGTAGTGGTGCGTCTGTGGGGGTGTAGTGGTGCGTCTGTGGGGGTGTAGTGGTGCGTCTGTGGGGGTGTAGTGGTGCGTCTGTGGGGGTGTAGTGGTGCGTCTGTGGGGGTGTAGTGGTGCGTCTGTGGGGGTGTAGTGGTGCGTCTGTGGGGGTGTAGTGGTGCGTCTGTGGGGTGTAGTGGTGCGTCTGTGGGGGTGTAGTGGTGCGTCTGTGGGGGTGTAGTGGTGCGTCTGTGGGACACCACTTGTAAACCTGTGGGTTTTTACTCTCACCACCACAGCCCTTCAACCACAACTCCTCCACCACCACAACACTTCCATAACCACAATTTTTTTTTTTTGTAAGATATAGAGGTAAGGTATACACGCGGACCGAAGGTTGGCCTGTGTGGTGGTGACCAGGTGGAGTGTGGTCTTAGGTCTGGGTCCTCTCGTAAATGGAGACCAAACAAAGGAAGACATATGACCCTTTTAACATCAGTGAGTTAAGTGTTGTATTAAGGACTTGTCGCTCTCTCTCTACCGTGTGTCAGTAAGGAATTGTAATTCTGTCATACTCTCTTTCTCTCTCTCCTCTCTCTTTTCTCTCTTTTTTTTCTCTTTTTTTCCCTCTCTCTTTTTCTCTCTTTTTTTCTCTCTCTTTTTTTCTCTGTCTTTTTTCTCTCTTTTTCTCTCTCTTTTTTCTCTCTCTCTTTTTCTCTTTCTTTTTTTTCTCTCTCTCTCTCTCTCTCTCTCTCTCTCTCTCTCTCTCTCTCTCTCTCTCTCTCTCTCTCTCTCTCTCTCTCTCTCTCTCTCTCTCTCTCTCTCTCTCTCTCAATACCTAATGTTCATATGGGTGGAAAGAAAGAATAATAGAGGGATATACAATTGAAGTATTATGAAACTTTAAAAAAAGAAAATAATATAGTATAAGTATGAGGTTTGAGATGATATATAACCACTTTAATATCTGACGGCGGCGTTCCTGTGACGGTCCAAGTGAGAGGGAATCTATACCGAATTTTCTTTGGTTTCAGTAATTATTATTCTGTAATAATTACAAAATAATAATTATTATTTTAATAATTATAATTACTACCTAATTATATTTATAATTACTAGCATTCAGTGTAATGGTAGTAATTATTATATTAGATTCTGCACGCATATGCGTGCGATATGCATATATATATATATGTGTGTGTGTGTCACTCAATTGTGCTTGAGGGGGAAGGGGGGGGGTGAGTCTCGGCTTTGTGGTCCCGGCTTTCAACTGTCAACTGTGTATGCGTGTGTGTGTGTACGTTGGTTGCGTGCGTGCGCGTGCACTCGAGTTGGCCAGTCAGGGTTCAGTGGTGAGCAATTGGTGTGGTGTGGGTGTCGTGTTCACCCATAAACTTCCCCAGTGAACAGTGTACAGTCGCCTGGTTGGCATTCGACCATTTTTGCGTCGCTGAATAAGATACTGAAACATGTATATTTTATACATGTACAAAATATACATGTACAAGAAATGGATCTTGAGAATCTTTATACATATACACGTGTTTACATTCAGACAAATTGGAAAACTATATTCATAAAATTGTTTGCCCATATATAGCTGATATTTTTTACTTATAGTGTAAATACATAAATGATTTATACAAGGAAAAGGTGATGTGGTGAAAGGGAGTGCTGCTATGCAGGTCGGCGTTCGATCCCCAGTGGGGCAATTTTGGTTGGGCAACATTCCTTCCCTCTGCCCTATCCCAGCTCCTGTTCCTCATATCCCAGCTCCTGTTCCTCATATCCCAGCTCCTGTTCCTCATATCCCAGTTCCTTGTCCTCATATCCCAGCTTCTTGTCCTCATATCCCAGCTCATTGTCCTCGTATCCCAGCTCCTTGTCCTCATATCCTAGCTCCTTGTCCTTATATTCCAGCTCCTTGTCCTCATATCCCAGCTCCTGTTCCTCATATCCCAGCTCCTTGTCCTCATATCCCAGCTCCTTGTCCTCATATCCCAGCTCCTTGTCCTCATATCCCAGCTCCTGTTCCTCATATCTCAGCTCCTTGTCCTCATATCCCAGCTCCTTGTCCTCGTATCCCAGCTCCTTGTCCTCGTATACCTTTCAAGTGTTATATAGTCATACTGGCTTAAGGGATCTTTAGCTGTTGGTTTCCGTCTGACTAACTGTGGATCGCTTGATGCAATGATTCCAGAACCTTATCATTTTCCCCTTCAAAATGGCATCTTTTCTGCGACTCATTTACTTGTGTAAATGCCAAGGTTGGTACACCTGCTTGTACTTGCCGGGGAAGGGGGGTAGGGAGGTGGATGTTGAGCTTCAGCTCATGGCTCGCGCCTCCTAACATGTAATCTACTTGTGTACTTGCTGCTCAACTCTTCGGTTTCTGTGTCATTTTGAATCCTGGTATGGAGTCCGGCTGACTAACACGTTTGTGCGTGAGAGATGACGTGCGTGCGTGAGAGGCCGTAGGTGTGTGTGTGTGTGTGAGAAGCAGCTTGAGTGTGTGCGTGTGAGTGTGGTGACATCTGGGCAGGCTAACCCCTCAAGCCACTAGGCCGTTGCTCTACACACCTCACAGCACAGAGCACATACACACACACTCGTACAACCTCTGAGTATTGTTTACTGACGTACAGTGGTGCACATCTGCGCCAAGTGAACCCAATACTTTTGAATTCAACTTTTGAGTTTAATATGAACGCTGTCTCCAAACTGTTCATAATTCGTTCTTGTGGACGACGGATTTGTTTTTTGTGTTAATGTTTATTGCTTGATTTACAGGTTATTAGAAATGATAAAAACATGACACTGGAAATAAGTGATGTGGGTAGATGTGAGATATGTGGTTAGTGAGGTGTGAGTGATGGAGCTACTGTGTGGGGTGCCCAAGCCCCAGCGCCGCACCGGCTGGGGGTCATCATGGGGGAGGGCCAGCCTGGGCAAGGGCGGCCAGGTGGCCAAGGATGACCTGGGATGGGGCAGCATCAGACGCTCCGCCACGATGCCTGCCGCAGGGTCCTACTTGACCAGGCCCTCCAAGTCTTCTCCTCAAGCTTATCGCCGCCACCTGCTGCCCTCCGCTACGCTGCCTTCCGCCGCCAAGCCGCCGCGAGGGGCTGCCCTCGACCCTTACAGCGAGCCCCTGTGCCCCTCCGTGACCCTGGCTCCGGCGGGTAAGGACGTGGTGCTCGCTGACGAGGCAGGAGAGATGGGCACACTTCGCCGCTCTCAGACCTTGCCACTTGGGGCTCTGCGGAAGCCCCCGGCGTGTCTGAGCAGTGCCGTGGCGTCCCTCAAGCGCGAGGGTTCCTTCAAGCGCCGCGGTGCCCCTGGCAGGGACTCCATCAGGAAGAGCAGCAGTCTCCCCAAAGACCTGAAGCGGCAGGAAAGTACCGGCGCCCCTAGAGATAAAAATGATAGTGAGGGCAGTGTTGTCGGTGCCCTTGACCGTCACACTGTGGCGCACCACAGTTCAGACACTGTGGCGCACAGTATAAACACTGTGGCGCACAGTATAAACATTGTGCCGCACAGTACACAGGGCAAGAACGGTGGTGTCGTGAGCAGTCCCTTCAGGAGAACGCTGACGTTGCCACCGGGAGCAATCTGCAGACGTTGTCCGGGGACGAGGTCATCAGAGAGGCGAAAAATGGCTTTCGCCCATTCGAAATTCGTCCATTCGAAAACCGACCCGAGCGAGAACGACGACGGGAAAAGTGTGGAGAGCGGCGAGGCGGGCGAGGGTAGTCGCGCCACCCCAGCCTGGCGAGGCAAGAGGAACTCTACTTCCTCCACCATGTCGGGGTTGTCGCGCCTCACCTCCACCACCACTACTGACGAAGGCGTATGCGTGTACAGCGAGGGTGGCAGCGTGTCGTCCTCGGTGTACGGCAGCGTGCGTGGCGGGGCGTGGAGTGGCAGTAGCGTGGACGAGGGCATCAGCGTGTATAGCGCGCCTTCCCTCGCCTCCTCTGCTGACCTCAGCTCCGCCTCGAGTCTCTACGAGCGCGGCGGGGCGCGGCCCAAAGTCCGCACCCCGCCTGAGACGCAGGGAATATTCCAGAAGAAAGAAGGGCAAGATGAAGAGGATGAGAAGTGCCTGCGGTGCCAGCGTGAGGCTGCGGCAGGCGGCTGTGCCCCGCTACGCCGCGTCCGCAGTCTCCGCGCGGCCCGGCACCTGCCCGTCACTCCTACCCTCCTGCGGCTCCTTCAGCTGGTGAGTACCTCACTGCTCCGTCCTCTCTCAACACGGGCACTCTCATTTTGAACACGCTGTCACTGTCAAGTCCTCTTGTAACTCGTGCTCTCACTCTCTTTCAACACACGCTCTTATTCTCTTATTCTCTCTCTCTCTCTCTCTCTCTCTCTCTCTCTCTCTCTCTCTCTCTCTCTCACTCTCTCTCTCACTCACTCACTCTCACACACACACACACACACACACACACACACACACACACACACACACACACACACACACACACACACACACCGTCGCACCACACTTGTATGCCTTGTTGTTTAATTCGCATATCATATGTTGCAGTTTTTGTTACAGGTAAGTCTTAGCGCTAAATTAAAAATAATTGTAATTAATAATAGTATTGCAGACACTGGGATATGTAACGTATCAATCTGTTGCAATATCTCAGTAATACATATAGTTAAAAAAAAATTATATATGTTTATATGATTTATATATATAATATATTTACAGAGGTATATATACTCGCTCCAATTCAAATCCTAAATAACATTGGCAAAGAAATGTGATTACTGATGCTATTATTGGTTATAGTTTCGTTTTTATTTTACATCATTTAATAATTCTTTTTGGTTCAGAATGATGTATAATGTTCTATGGTAGGCTATTTTTCCCCGCTGTTGGTTGCGTGATGTAAAGAGTTCAAATAGTTAAGTTACTCGTGTAGTAGCTTAACATAGAAAACTGTCTCTACTGCTCAACATAGAAAATGTTTGCGATTTGAGGTATAACATAAGTAAAGCTCGAGATTTATGCATGACTTTCAGATTCTAGTTCTTGGACAAGGGACGCATTTTAATCATTCAATTGCTATTAGTTACACTATTACTGAAAATTTAAGTAGGCTTGGACATATCTGTTAATAATACCAGTTAATATATTCCTGCTGAGTTGAAATGCTATGCTGAGCCCAGCATAGCATTTTAGCGGGCTTCCGTAATTATAAAATGAACAGGAATAAGTTTGAGACTTGACAAGAGTCGCAAATATATATCTCCATTAGTGGGAGGCAAACTCTATGTCCTAGGTTGAGACAAAAGTTAAAGTGGAGGTAATTATGGGAGAAGTTAGATTTTAGTTTATTATACAAGAGTTTCCCCTTGATCTGCTCTCTTCATCGTTTTCGTTCGTGTTGGTGCCTCCCCCGGGCCACTCGTATAGAAAACGGGATGAATAGGATGTAAGCACATGACGTCACTGGTGACTAAAAACACTTGTCGGTCACACGAGAACTTTTGCCATCCTATTCACCCATGTGCGTATCTACGTGTACACACACACACACACACACACACACACACACACACACACACACACACACACACACACACACACACACACACACACACACACACACACACACACAGAGTTAACGGATGGAATGCATTAGGCAGTGATGTGGTGGAGGCTGACTCCATACACAGTTTCAAATGTAGATATGATCAGGCTCAGGAATCTGTACACCAGTTGATTGACAGTTGAGAGGCGGGACCAAAGAGCCAAAGCTCCACCCCCCCCCCCCCGCAACCACAAATAGGTGAGTACACTGTAAGTCGGTAGAAATGTGTGGAATAATAAACCCATATTGTTTGAGTTAGGAAAACACTATCTGTCAAATATCAATGATGTTATCAAGATTCCCCTCCCCCCCCCATTTTGCACCCGCAAGATAACGTAAGGGTTTAATGATTGACAATGTTAATCTTCTTGTTTTGAGTAGTTGTTCACCTGAGACAATTAAGCAAGTTTCAGCTGTGTCTGGGTACAAGTGACAGGATGAACAACCCAGCGGGTTTTCTTCCTATTGGGGAGTGTTGTACATGCTGCTATGGTGGTGTGTTCACTCACAGGATGAGTGACGCTGCCCAATACTGTCACTGGCAGTGTGTTCACTCACAGGATGAGTGACACTGCCCAATACTGTCACTATGGCGGTGTGTCCACTCACAGGATGAGTGGCGCTGCCCAATACTGTCACTATGGCGTTGTGTCCACTCACAGGACGAGTGGCGCTGCCCAATAAACTCGCCCCTCGAAGCAAGACCTAAACTTACGAAGTTAATGAAAGAATTCCCATGAAGAAATCGCAGAACATTCGTCTATATAGGTTTACTTTAAGATGTAATATATTCATCAAGAAGCAAGGAATAATTTCTATCCGGTCGTGGGACAGAACTGTCAACAAACAGGTGGGAGTTTCCTGTTTAGCAGCGCCATCTGTGGAGGAGATTTGAGAGTGGTGGGTGTTTCTCCCAGGACGGTCGCCCGCGTCCACTTTCAGCCCCTTGTTTGTACTAGCTTATATCCTGTCTTTGTCGTGGGAAGTATTGCTTGAAGGAGCAACACGTCACCCATGTCTCCTGGTGCCTCGTTACTTGGTGCTGGCTCTCACCAGTGTCTCCTGGTGCCTCGTTACTTGGTGCTGGCTCTCACCAGTGTCTCCTGGTGCCTCGTTACTTGGTGCTGGCTCTCACCAGTGTCTCCTGGTGCCTCGTTACTTGGTGCTGGCTCTCACCAGTGTCTCCTGGTGCCTCGTTACTTGGTGCTGGCTCTCACCAGTGTCTCCTGGTGCCTCGTTACTTGGTGCTGGCTCTCACCAGTGTCTCCTGGTGCCTCGTTACTTGGTGCTGGCTCTCACCAGTGTCTCCTGGTGCCTCGTTACTTGGTGCTGGCTCTCACCAGTGTCTCCTGGTGCCTCGTTACTTGGTGCTGGCTCTCACCAGTGTCTCCTGGTGCCTCGTTACTTGGTGCTGGCTCTCACCAGTGTCTCCTGGTGCCTCGTTACTTGGTGCTGGCTCTCACCAGTGTCTCCTGGTGCCTCGTTACTTGGTGCTGCCTCTCACCAGTGTCTCCTGGTGCCTCGTTACTTGGGGTGACAGACGGGTGTGTGAAGGGGGGTGGGGAGGGGGTTCTAATGAGGGGCACAACTTCAAGGGTTCGAACCCGGGCCATAAATAGTTCCCCCCGGACTGAATTATAACCACGAGTCTATTTATATAATATTGGAGCGTCGGGAAGCGTTTCCAGAGAGTGAGCGCTGATAAAGTTCAGGATGGATGGGATTGATGATTGAATGGGAGCCCGCAGGCCTTTAGTGTCTCGGTAGCCAATCAGTGTGGCCAGTGTGGCTGATTTCCATAATTGGTATTACAGTGTAGGAGTTCGGGAGGTTTAGTCGACTAAGTTGATGGGATTCTGCTTAGTCTCCGATTGTCTGTAAGCTGATTTGGTCTCTCAAGATCCCTGTCTGCGACGGTAGCATTTTTTTGTGTTTTTATCAGGATTGGTCAGGATTCCAGGGTGGCAGCTCCCACCACCACCACCACCACACAGATAGTTATTGTGGTGGTGATGGTTGTTGGGTGGTAAGGCAGGGATCTGGACATTGGCACATTTCCCCCTCCATTTGCGGATGACACAAAATTAATGAGAAGAGTTGTGACAGATGAGGATTGTAGGATCCTCCAAGAGGACTTAAACAGGTTGCAGAGATGGTCAGGGAAATGGCTAGTGGAGTTCAACACCAGTAAATGTAAAGTTAAGGAAATGGGATCAGGTGATAGACGACCAAAGGGACAGTACACAATGAAGGGGAACAGCCTACCTGTAACGACTCGAGAAAGAGACCTGGGAGTGGATGTGACACCTATTCTAACTCCTGAGGCACATATAAATAGGATAACGACAGCAGCGTACTCTACACTGGCGAAAATTAGAATTTCATTCAGAAACCTAAGTGAGGAGGCTTTTAGGGCGCTTTACACTGCCTACGTGAGACCAGTCGTAGAGTATGCCGCGCCATCATGGAGCCCCCACCTGAAGAAACACATAAGGAAACTAGAGAAGGTTCAGAGGTTTGCGACGAGGCTTGGCCCAGAGTTACGAGGGATGGGATATGAAGAGCGTCTGATGGAACTGAACCTTACGACACTAGAGAAAAGAAGGGAGAGAGGAGATATGATAGGAACATATAAAATACTCAGGGGGAATTGACAAAGTGGAAATAGATGAAATGTTCACACGTAATAGTAACAGAACGAGGGGACATGGATGGAAACTGGAAACTCAGATGAGTCACAGAGATGTTAGGAAGTTTTCTTTTAGCGTGAGAGTAGTGGGAAAATGGAATGCACTTGGGGAACAGGTTGTGGAAGCAAACTCTATTCATACTTTTAAAATTAGGTATGATAGGGAAATGGGACAGGAGTCATTGCTGTAAACAACCGATGGCTGGAAAGGCGGGATCCAAGAGCCAATGCTCGATCCTGCAAGCACAAATAGATGAGTACACACACACACACACACACACACACACACACACACACACACACACACACACACACACACACACTCACACTCACACTCTGCGGTACCCGTTCACAACAGCACTACGACACAAACATAACGGCTGTCCAGAGTAGGCACATGGAGGATATGAGGGCGAGGGCCCCAGATATGTGGGTGGGGCCCCCCCAAGATATGTGGGTGGGGGCCCCCCCCAAGATATGTGGGTGGGGCCCCCCAAGATATGTGGGTGGGGCCCCCCAAGATATGTGGGTGGGGCCCCCCAAGATATGTGGGTGATGCCCCCCCAAGATATGTGGGTGGGGCCCCCCAAGATATGTGGGTGGGGCCCCCCAAGATATGTGGGTGGGGCCCCCCCAAGATGTGTGGTTGGGGCCCCCCCAAGATGTGTGCGTGGGCCCCCCCCCAAGTTATGTGGGTGGGGGGCCCCAAGAGGTCAACAGGTGAGTCAACACTGGTGACAAAGGTCATGGGAATGAAAGCTAAAAAGTAAACCTCGCTGGAACTCAATCAGGTTATGACTTTAAACCCACTCGAGCAAGACTGGTGAATTGGCAGCGAGAGGTGAGGGGGGGGGGGAGAGGGTTCCTGAGTGGTGGGGAGGGGGGTTGAGGGGGGGGGGAGGGGGTTCCTGAGTGGTGGGGAGGGGG